CAGCTTGACAAAGCCCCTATAGCTAGACTGCCTCTCTGGATTTCCCTCTCTGGGCAGGGTATCTCTGAAAGAAAGGCAGCAGCCCCAGTCAGGGGCTTATAGATAAAACTCCTATCCTCCTGGGACAGAGCACCTGGGGAAGGGGCAGCTTCACCTTCTGTGGGCTGCACCCAAGTCTAACCAGTCCCAATAAGATGAGAAAGGTGCCTCAGTTGAAAATGCAGCCATTACATAATGGCTACTTTTTCTAGTATCCTAGATGTGAGCTTTGCAATTTCACTTACTCCTTTTATCTTTCAAAACTTGGGAAGATTGTGACTGGCAAGATGGCTGAATGGGAACAGCTCTGGTCTGCAGCTCCCAGCGAGATCAATTCAGAAGGTGGGTGTATAGGAATGTTTGTGATTTTTGCACATTGATTTTGTATCCTGAAGTTGCTGAAGTTGCTTATCAGTTTCAGGAGGTTTGGGGCTGAGATGATGGGGTCTTCAAAATATAAAATAATGTCGTCTGCAAATAGAGACAATTTGACTTCCTCCTTTCCTATTTGAATACCTTTTATTTCTTTTTCTTGCCTGATTGCTCTGGCCAGAATTTCCAATACTATATTGAATAGGAGTGGTGAGAGAGGGCACCCTTGTCTAGTGCCAGATTTCAAAGGGAATGCTTCCAGCTTTTGCCCATTCAGTATGATATTGGCTGTGGGTTTGTCATAAATAGCTTTGATTATTTTGAGATACGTTCCGTCAATATCTAGTTTATTGAGAATTTTTAGCATAAAGTGCTGTTGAATTTTGTTGAAGGCCTACTCTGCATCTATTGAGATAATCATATGGTTTTTGTCTTTGGTTCTGTTTACGTGGTGAATTACGTTTACAGACTTGTGTACGTTAAACCAGCCTTGCATCCCTGGGATGTAGTCTACTTGACTGTGATGGATAAGCTTTTTGATGTGTTGTTGCAATCAGTTTGTCAGTATTGCATTGAAGATTTTTGCATCTATGTTCATCATGGATATTGACCTGATGTTTTCTTTTCTTGTTGAGTCTCTGCCAGGTTTTGGTATCAGGATGATGTTGGTCTCATAAAATGATTTGGGAAGGATTCCCTCTTTTTGGATTGTTTGGAACAGTTTCCAAAAGAGTGGTACCAGTTCCTCTTTGTATGTCTGGTAGAATTCAGCTGTGAACTCATCTGTACCTGGGCTTTTTTTGGTTAGTAGGCTATTAATTGCTGCCTCAACTTCAGCCCTTGTAATTGGTCTATTTAGGATTTTGACTTCTTCCTAGTTTAGGCCTCGGAGGGTGCAAGTGTCCAGGAATTTATCCATTTCTTCCAGGTTTACTGGTTTATGTGCATAGAGTTGTTTGTAGTAATCTCTGATGGTGGTTTGTATTTCTGTGGAACCTGTGGTGATATCCCCTTTATCGTTATTTATTGCATCTATTTGGTTATTCTCTCTTTTCTCTTTTATTAATCTGGCTAATGGTCTATTTTGTTGATATTTTCAAAAAAATGAGCTCCTAGATTTATTGATGTTTTGAAGGGTTTTTGTATCTCTATCTCCTTCAGTTCTGCTCTGATCTTAGTTTTTTCTTGTCTTCTGCTAGCTTTTGAGTTGTTTTGATCTTGCTCCTCTAGCTCTTTCAATTATGATGATATGGTGTCAAGTTTAGATCTTTCCTTGCTTCTCATATGGGCACTTATTGCTATAATTTTCCTCTAGACACTGCTTTAAATGTGTCCCAGGGATTCTGGTACATTGTGTCTTTGTTCTCATTGGTTTCAAAGAACATCTTTATTTCTGCCCTCATTTCATTGTTTAGCCAGTCAACATTCAAGTGCCAGTTGTTCAGTTTCCATGAAGTTCTGCAGTTCTGAGTTAGTTTCTGAATTCTGAGTTCTAATTTGATTGCACTGTGGTTTGAGAGACTGTTATGATTTCTGTTCTTTTGCATTTGCTGAGGAGTGATTTACTTCCAATTATGTGGTCAATTTTTGAGTAGGTGTGATTTGGTGCTGAGAAGATTGTATATTCTGTGGATTTGGTGTGGAGAGTTCTGTACATGTCTAATAGGTTTGCTTGGTCCAAGTCTGAGTTCAAATCCTGGATATCCTTGGTAATTTTCTGTCTCATTGATCTGTCTAATATTGATGGTGGAGTGTTAAAGTCTCCCACTATTATTGTGTGGGAATCTAAGTCTCTTTGTAGGTCATTTAGAACTTGCTTTATGTAACTGGGTGCTCCTGTATTGGGTGTATATATATTTAGGATCATTAGCTCTTCTTGTTGCATTGATCCTTTTACCATTATGTAATGCCCTTCATTGTCTCTTTTGATCTTTGTTGGTTTAAAGTCTATTTTATCAGAGACTAGGATTCCAACTCATGCTTTTTTTTGCCATTTCCTTGGTAAATCTTCCTCCATCCCTTTATTTTGAGCCTTGCATGTGAGATGGGTTTCCTGGATACAGCACACCAATGGGTTTTGACTTTTTATCCAATTTGCCAGTCTGTGTCTTTTGATTGGGGCATTTAGCCCATTTATATTTAATGTTAATATTTTTATGTGTGAATTTGATCCTGCCACTTTGATGCTAGCTGGTTTTTTTGCCTATTAGTTCACAGTTTCTTCATTGTGTCAATGCTCTTTACTATTTGGTACGTTTTTGGAGTGGCTGGTACCGATTGTTCCTTTCTATGTTTAGTGCTTCTTTCAGGAGCTCTTGTAAAGCAGGCCTGGTGGTGATAAAATCTCTGAGCAGCTGCTTGTTCGTAAAGGATTTTATTTCTCCTTTGCTTATGAAGCTTACTTTGACTGGATATGAAATTCTAGGTTGAAAGTTCTTTTCTTTAAAGATGTTGAATATTGGCCCCCACTCTCTTCTGGCTTGCAGGGTTTCTGCTAAGAGATCTGCTGTAAGTCTGATAAGCTTCCCTCTGTGGGTAACCTGAGCTTTCTCTCTGGCTGCCCTTAGCATTTTTTCCTTCATTTCAACCCTGGTCAATCTGACTATTATGTGCTTTGGGGTTGCTCTTGTTGAGGAATATCTTTGTGGTGTTATCTGTATTTCCTGGACTTGAATATTGGCCTGCCTTGCTAGTTTTGGGAAGTTCTCCTGGATTATATCTTGAACAGTGTTTTCCAGCTTAGATTCACTCTCTCTGTCACATTCAGGTACACCTATCAAACATGGATTAGGTCTTTTCACATAATCTCATATTTCTTGGAGGCTTTGTTCGTTTCTTTTTACTTTCTTCTCTAATCTTGCCTTTCCATTTTATTTCATTGAGTTGATCTTCGATCTCTGACATCCTTTCTTCTGCTTGGCCAATTTGGCTACTGAAACTTGTGTATGCTTTGTGAAGTTCTCATGTTGTGTTTTTCAGCTCCATCAATTTATTTATAGTCCTCTCTAAGCTGTTTATTCTTGTTACCATTTCATCAAACCTTTTTCAAGGTTCTTAGTTTCTTTGCATTGGGTTAGAACATATTCTTTTAGCTCAGAGAAGTTTGTTATTACCCACCTTCTGAAGGCTGTTTCTGTCAATTCATCTGACTCATTCTCCATCCAGCCTTGTTCCCTTGCTGGTGAAGAGTTGGGATCCTTTGGAAAAGGAGAGGCTTTCTGGTTTTGGGTGTTTTCATCCTTTTTGTGCTGGTTTCTTCCCATCTTTGTGGATTTATCTACCTGTGTTCTTTGTAGTTGGTGACTTTTAGATGGGGTCTCTGAGTGGACATCCTTTTTGTTGATGATGAAGTTATTTCTTTCTGTTTCTTAGTTTTCCTTCTAACAGGCCCCTCTGCTGTAGGACTGCTGGAGGTCCACTCCAGATCCTGCATGCCTGGGGATCACCTGCAGTGGCTGCAGAACAGTAAGGGTTGCCACCAGTTTCTTTTTCTGTTATCTTTGTCCCAGAAGGATACCCACCAGATGTCAGCCTGAGCTCTCCTTTATGAGATGTCTCTTTGGATATACAGGGCACTGGGGAGCTGCCTGAGGAGACAGTCTGTCCCTTATAGGAGCTCAAGTGCTGATCTGTGAGCTCCGTTGTTCCATTCAGAGCTGCTGGGCAGGTATGTTTAAGTCTGCTGCAGTGGAACTCATAACTGCCTTTTTTTCCCAGGTGCTCTGTCCTAGGAAGGTGGGGCTTTATTTATAAGTTCCTGTCATGCTGCTGCCTTTTTTCAGAGATGTCCTGCCCAGTTAGGAGGTAGCCTAGTCACAGTCTGCCAGCAGAGGCGTTGCTGAGCTGCCATGGGCTCTGCCCAGCTGCTGTGTGAACTTCCTTGCAGTTTTGTTTATAGGGGTATAGTTAGAACTGCCTCAGTAATGGTGTTCTGCCTCAGTAATGTTGGTCTGCCTTAGTAGTGGCGGAGTGTCTCTGTAATGGCGGACTGCCTCAGTAGTGGTCGACTGTCTCAGTAATAGTGGATGCCCTTCCCCCCACAAAGCTGGACTGTTCCAGGACCAGCTGTACTTGCTCTGAAACTCTCAATCCAGAGCATTTCAGATTGCTGGTCTTTGTGGGGGTGGGACCAGCAAAGTCAGTTCACCTGGCTCCCTGTTTAACCTCCCCTTTTTTCAGTTGAATGGGCAACTCTGTCTCCCAGGCATTCCAGTCACCAGTTGAAACAGCACCCAGATTTGTGTAAGTTTTTGTGCAGAGACCCACTGCACCGGCTGTGCCACACTGGAGACTCATGGCGCTTTTCCACCCAGGAATCTCCTGGTCTATGGGCAGTAAGAATTCGTTTGGGAATGTGGTGATCACTCACCCTCTGCATTTTTGCTGGGAACTGCAATCCAGAGCTGTTCCTATTCGGCCATCTTGGATCCTCCCTCCTGGCTGCATTTTTAAAAGCCTGGTTCTGCTTAAAGAATTACTTTAGTAACAATGAAAGACATATATTTTCATGTAATTTGCCTGGTTATACTTGCAGAGTACTCCATAAAGATAATATTTGGAAAAAATTTTAAAACAACCAAAGTTTTGTACAACCTATGGCTTTTACTTTTTATTACCAATATACAAAGCACATTAAAAACATCCATTTTTACTTTGCCTTCTCTCTCTTCCTATTTCCATATGCTTAAGTAGGACAAAAAAAAGGCAAGGCAATAAAATAAATTCCATCCACTATACTGAAGGCTGACATTTCAATGCCTCATTTGTAAAGAGTCAGTAGTAAAAGTCATTATCAAAAGAAGGAAAATAACTGTCACTTAAGTACCTCCTTAGTTCATAAATGTTTTCCCACAAAGAAGTAGTAAATGTAAGGTACATATGACTACAGAAATGAGTTATCTTTTTCTTTTCATAAACTTTTCTGCTTCTTTCAAAAGCTCTTCCATGTCTTCCTTCTCTTCATCTTCTTTTCCTGGTTCCCAGTCAGAATCTTCATCTGTTGGCTCATAGTCGTCTTCCTCATCATCTGGAAAGCTGTCATTCAGGTCATACTCATTGGGTTCCTCAACATTATCATTATCTTCATCTAAAACATTTCTCACTGAAAAACAGAAGACTGGTACACAACACAGCAATCACCACTCAACCTGGGATGATAGACATCTAACTATAAAATGTTTTCCTGCAACCAGAGAATTAATTTTACTAATGTATAGCTTACCACTACAAATTTCTGAAGGGCACTAAAATGATGCATTGTTATTTATTATTCTAACTTTGCCTACCGTGAGGCTCCTGAAACTAAAATGGCCCATGAGATTAATAACAATGGTTCCTTAATATCATAATCATATTCACAACATCCCATCTTCCCATGTGGTCCCTCACTGGAAGAGGAAACAGCCTTAGGATGATAATGACCCCTCTAAAGACAGAATGAGGAAAAAAAATTGAGTCCTTGGGAACACTATTGACATTAATGAGCCAAAGCAATATAGCTTATCTAAATCCAGCCCTAGCTCTGGACATTTTAGTTATAGAAGCCAATTATCATTTAGGCCAGTTTGAGATTTTGTTTTCAGGTACTTGCAAACAAAAGAATCCTAAGAGATACAAGGGCAAATATATATTGTGGACAATGGGGAAAGCATTTACTATATAGAAGGTTCACAGTTGTGTTTTTTTTTAATATAAGAAAAATTATTAAAATCAGCAATTCAAAAAATTCACAGCAGAAATTTTAAAAAAGATTTTTGTAATAATTGGTAACTGTATCTAGGTTTAATAGGAGAATCATTTAAAGTTTTCATTTTGAGTTTCCTGAAGTAAAATTACTTACCTGGAAGCATACTATGTCTGTATTCTATCTTGTGCTGGGGATTCTTCCTGAAAGAAGAATGCAAAAATAAGAGCTAGTCTTCCAATTACTAAAAATTGATGACTATTTACACTAAACTACAATACTGACTAACTTACAAATAAACTTAGGACCCAAGAGGCCTCTTATGAAAAAACATTTGTTGCTTAATTACAATATTTCCTTTGTATCTATGCCACGCCAAGTGCATTTCTAGATGCAAAGATAGAGTGATGAACAAGACAAAGTTCTTACCTCAAGAACTTACACTCTAGAAAGATGGAAAAGACAAAATATGTATTTCCAAAATATATACTTTTAAACTGTGATGTATCACACATATAAAAATATAATATAAAATAGAATCTAAAACTCATGACACAAATATCAAATATGTATATAAGTATGTGTGTGTGTACAGTATTTAAAAATTCTAAGGTTCTCCTTGAATCTAAAGAAAACAATATTCTCTCAAAAGAACACCAATTATTTGTTATGAAAAAACACAAAAGTTAATTTTGTTTAGAAATTCAGATAACATATTCTGAAGTCAAAGAGGAACTAGTGTTTAAAGATCTATTTTTAATTATATGTACTTATGATACCTTCTGTTATTTTGTTAGTTAAACAAATGTTTGGGCACCCTATATGTACAAGACATTCTCCAAATGTCCCAGCAGTAAAATCTAAGTCAACAGGTTCATCATGACCAAACTGACTGATATCCCTCCCTCAGGGAACTGACAAAGCAGGGCTGGGGTACACTAACCATAGATATGTGCTGAGGTGACAACTTTTGAATTTGCCTGTGTCAGAAGTGATTATTTTTACATAACAAATATTCATTTGTTCATTCATCAAGTATTGGCTGAATATTTCACTATATTCTGGCTCTAAACAGGCACTGAGGATAAAATATTTAACCAGATACACATTCTTGCCCCTAAAAGACACAGTCTCAGGGCAGGAGAAAGACACACATTAAGGAAGCATTTTCTTCATTGAAAAATAAGAATATCTTCTGTGAAGACAGGAAATATTCTAATAATATATCTTTTAGGACACAGAAACTAAGTCAAGCCTTAAATTTTCTGTTTCTCAGGCTAAATAACATTTGTTCTTTTTTTTACCTTTTCAATAGGGCAAATAAAGCACTTTTTAAAAAAATTATATAACTTAGGTAAAATATCACTTTAATTTTTTCTATAAGTCCTCCCATTCAACTTTATAATTCCACATCTACTGCAACAGAGAAAAGTGGCCAGTCTCAGGAAGTGGCTCTCTAGCCCTGAACCTAGTCTGTGAGTCATAGAATGTGAATATGTACTAGGAATGATCTCAGAGTAGCTACTCCACCTCCTCCAGGTGACAGATGAGCAATGTGAGCCTAAGGAGATGAAGTCCATGCCCAGGGTTTGTGCTTTCCAACTTGGGTAATGATTATATTAAGACAGAGGTCCAGGCAAAATTATGAACTAAATTCTTAAAATATCTCTGCAATAATCAGCAGATTAAATTTTCCACTTATAAATTCCTCTATGAGTCTATTATAAAAAAAAAGTATCCAACTGCTCTTTTTCATCATTTAAAAAAGCATACACTGTTTTTAAAATATTTTATAATAAAAATTATACTTTAAAAATATTGTTTTTTCTCTGTGCCTTTGACACTATGTGATATTAGAAACAAAGGAAAATAAATACTTTCTAATCACATAGAACCATCTGCTTGAAAAATATTTGTTTTCTTGTTTCCAGCATTGCCTACTATCTTATACTTGCTCCAAATACTGACTTCCTTTATCTATCTATCTATCTATCTATCTATCCATCCATCCATCCATCTTAGAGACAAGCCTCACTCCATTACCCAGGCTAGAGCGCAGGGCACAATTATAGCACACTGCAGCCTCAAACTCTTAAGTTCAGGTGATCCTCCCACCTCAGCCTCTTGAGTACAGCTAGGACTGCAGGTATGAGTCACTGAGCCCATCCTAATTTTCTGTCTCTCCATCATAATTCGTTGGGCAATAGGAAGTAATTACAAATACATAAATTTAAATTACTTGATAAAACCAAGAAAAATAGTGTTATTGCTTTTAAAAGCTGTGGTAATCATGAAATCTATTTTCCAAGATAGGTTTTAACTGGTGTTACTTTCAAGAGTTTCAGCTGAAAACCCTGGAGTCTGTAATGCTATCCAACAGAATTTTTTGTAATGAGGGAAAATTGCTCTGTGTTGTCCAATATAGAGCCACTAACTGTATGTGACTGGTAAGCCCTTGAAATATGGGTAATAAAGCTAAGGAAATGAATTCTAAATTTTATTTACTTAATTCAGATTTAAATGTAAACAGCCACATGTGGCTAGTGGCTATCATACTGGACTACAGTTTTATTTCAAAAATCAAGAAAAGGGAGATCCTCTCACCCCAGCCAATATTAATTACAATTAATCCTCTCAAGATCAACAAACAAACAACCTCTTTTTTATGAAGTAACCCTCAAACAAGGTAAACATTTTATAGGTAGAAATGGCATTATTGAAAATAGGAGGTCAGTGACTATAGTCAAAAAGACATTAGAATCCTAACTCAGCCACCTCCCTGTATGTTGTCTAAGTTTCAGTTTTCCCATTTGTAAAAGGGGGATAACAACAGAACCCATACTCACATGAAGCCATTTTTAGGATTCATGAGATAAGGCACAATAAGTCTTGAATCTAAGGGGTTGGCAGGTGGTAAATACATAATGTTAGCCTTTGATCCATTCATTATTAGTTTAAGAAACAGTCACAGAATACTTATTACATGTCAGGCCTTGTGTTAAGTGTGACACTCATCCCTAATCTCTCTTCTTTTCCTACAATGTGAGCATTAAACACAGTGCAAAAATCTAACTGCACAGTTAATTAAGGTCCTAATTCAACAGCTTTGAAAAGTGGAAAAAAGATTCTATGCAAGGTTGTGTGTTTAGCATAATTAACCCAAATTTGACCTTTCAATGAAAAAGAAATTCAAATTAAAAAAAAAAAAACAAAGCAAAAACTGGACAGTTTAGCTGTGATGAAGACAGTTGCTAACGAACAAAGCTACGGTGATGATTTGTGGGAAGATCTTTCCTACTGACCATGCTAGTGCAGGTCACTGACTTAAGTTCAGTCTTCATTAAAGTATAATTAATGCTGGGCATCAGGAACAGAGAAAGACAAAAATGGGGAACATTAATACCAAAGATATTCTTCATCTTTACTTTAGAAAAAAAGTTACTGGCTGGACATGGTGGCTTATGCCAGTAATCCCAGCATTTTGGGAGGCTGAGGTGGGTGGATTATTTGAGGTCAGGAGTTCAAGACCAGCCTAACCAACATTGTGAAACCCCATCTCTACTAAAAATACAAAAAAGTTAACCAGGTGTGGTGGCATATGCCTGTAATCCCAGCTACACAGGAGGCTGAGGCAGGAGAATCGCTTGAACCCAAGAGGAGGAGGTTGCAGTGAGCCAAGATCACCCCATTGCACTCCAGCCTGGGTGACAGAGTGAGACTCCATCTCAAAAAAAAAAAAAAAAAAAAAAAGGTTACTAGTCATTTGGGATTCTTTTCAGTAACATTTTATTTTGAAAAAATTTCACACCTACTTTAAAAAGCAAGTAAGACCAGTACACTGAAATTCCACCTAACTTCATCAAGATTTTTCAAGTGTTAACATTCTACATGGGTGTCTTATTGTTGTCCATCTATAATCATTTCAGCTTAAGGCTTTTTCTCCTTCCTTTAATATATGTTTGCTTCAGGTACCAAGCAGTCCTCTTTTCCTGCTTTGCCCTTAAGAGTTAAGTAGGATTATTGAAAAGTTAAATACGGCCTTAATTGTTTGCTACTAGAGCCTCCTTCAATGCTGCTTTAGAAATGCTCAAGTAACTAAACGTCAGGCTTTTTTTAAAAAAAGTAGAGTAATGAAACCCAGGGAGTTAAAGACTCAAGTATGGTTTAAGCACCAAATACTGATTGAAAGACTGCTGACATCAGTTATCAGACTAGAAAGATTAAAAAGAAGAGCAACTTTTTAAAAAGAGAAAGTAAAGACAGGGTATCGCAAAGTGGGGGAGTGGAGTTCAACCTTAAAGTTTCAGAAGGTAGTTCCTCATTCTCTATTATCTTGGAACACATTCACAGTGGCACTCACATGCACCGTCTACATCCTCCAACCTCCTACTTAGGAAACAGCAAGCCATTTCAGAATAAATGAACAAATAACTATGAAAGAAGTGTTACATTTAATTATTACAAAAAGGAAGAGTAGAAAATGTAATGTGAAATTTTATATTTAAAAATGGGAAAAAAATTTCAGGCCCACATAAAGGTTTTCATCTGCCTTAGAAGGTAAAAGTTGTTTCTTTGAGGATCTTCCATCCTTTCCTAGAACTTACTCTTTTCATAAAGACAGGTAAAAGACTGTAATGCAGAACAGAAGAAACGAGCTGAGGTGGTGTTTTTCAGTTGGACACTGACCTTCCAACCTAAAGCAAAAGAATTAATATCAATACAATTTTGCTAGCTATTTCACTGAAAATGAAGGAAAAGAATATCTATGATAGGCCCAAGTTTCCTGTTGGGGTATTTATTCTCTTTGATGATAAACAGAACTCACAGAATAGATGGACTTTAATAAGAAAATGAGCCCAAACAGAAAAGATAGTTTATCACATGCAAAAGCACACACTCAAAAACAAATTTTAGATATGTTTGCTTTACATAAAAATTTAAATGCTAGATTGAGTCTTCTGAATGTTAAATTCTTAAATTGTCTTTTCCTTCAAGGTTCTTCATAATCTCAGTGTCACTCTTTATTAGCAGCTCAATCTTTTGTTTCCACTCTTGGGGAGTACGTTGTGATTTTTTCCCCCATTGATAGGAATTTGTTCATAGCTTTTTTAGGAAGTATATTCTTCTACTGTGTACTACTATCTAAGTTCAAATCATATCTCTTTCATGAAAGTAACTTTGATAATACTGGAAAATAGCTCCA